TTATCTTCTTACGACACACAGTCGGGTCTCATCGAAATAGTGCAGTGGAATTTTTCGATGCTACATCTGAAAGACGTACGGTCAGACCGCTATTTTCAAACTGAAGCACTTCATGATTGTCTTTTACGATTCGGGGATCAGTCTGAGTGGTTAGGCATGATTGATTTGGATGAGTATATAGTTCCACTTCCTCCATACGAAACAGTCGCCGCTTTCTTGATTGGAGAATATGGTAGACGCATCATCGGATCTGTAAATTTGTGGAGCAGTTTTTTCTGTGCAAAAAGCTCAAATGGTCTGAGTGAAACTGAGAAAGACGATAGCTTACTAGTCATCGAAAAATTCACTAGAAAAGCTCGATCGAGATATAAAAGTGGAAGAGAAAAGTATCTGTATCGACCGCGGTTTGTTCAATACTTATCTATTCATCATCAGATTATTGGACTATCGAAAGCGGAACCTCCAGAAAGTAGAATAATGTTAGCACACTATATTTCGATGGAGAGGATTCGAGCATTTCCTGGTTGCGAAGAAAATAAATCCATAAGTGACACTCATATCATGGACAAATATGCATCGAATCTAAAAGAAGGATTAAAGCACAATCATCGATAACGATCTGCTGGATTTTGGTAGTTAGATTGAGACTGACAAGTCGATTTCGAGAGAATTTCATGAAGTAATGGTTCATGAAATGTGGCAGCTTACCAGCGTTTCACATGAGCAGTATGACACTTCGAGGGTATTTGTAGAAAACAGTTGACTTGCCTTTTTTACTGTTTAATATGCTGGAATGAGCAATATTTTGAGTGGAGCACCTATGTATTTTATGTAAGTAAATCGTCTTGTTCAACTAACCGATTCAACTTTTACATGTTAAGACAATGTGAATGTTTTTCGACTTTCTTTCAGAGTATGCAATCATAGGTATTTATACCCTGTCAGAATTTAAAAAATGTGAATATGTAGACGATATTTAACACGAAAGCACTTACACGATATCTTGATTTCAGTTTCGAAGGCAGGTTGAGCACGAAGTCTTTGATAGGAAATCATTTTATTAATATATGTGTCCTCTCTTCGCAGATTATACTAGTTGTTGACACTTGAACTCTTGTTTGAGAAAAAGTAGAAAAGGTCAGAGTTCAGGAAGATGGCAGAAAGTTTGGGAAGCTGCTGAGGAAGGAAAAACTCTGCGTTGTTCACATGGTGCAGTTGACTCAATGATTTAGGAAGTAACATTGCTGTGTATATTTGCACTGAACGACGTAGCCGGTTTTGAGGATTTCTTCCAATGAATCTGGTAATAACTTGTTGAAATGGTTAATGGAATGAAACAGTTGGATGAGAAAAATGTGAATGACCTAAGCGTGTCTTTCGACGAGAAAGCATTTTACTGCTCTCATGATGAGAAGAAGAGGAACGATGAGGAGTGAAATTCTGCATGCAACAAAGGAACGATCGAGCGGCTGTTACCAGCGGTTGTTTTCGGTAAGGGGTTTCGATTAAGAATCATCGTGAATGCAGGTCTAGGAGGGAGTATTTAGCGTTTCTCACCGAAATAGTTGCATGTACCATGTGACTGGACTGCTGTCTGTTTATCCTACCTTCAGAATTCAGTTCCACATTCATGACCATCTTTGTTGACTTCGTGACATTGTTTGCCCTTTCTCTGAAACCTAGCATAGTTACCATATATCTGCGAAAGATTTTAGGTTGAACGGTTATTTAATGTCGGCTCCAAAATTCATACTGTATACGACACTCATTGTTCTCAGTGCTCTAATATTTATTACCTATTTTCCATTTCGAACTGGTTTTCATATTGCATTCATAGAAGAAATACTAAGTAATTATCATGGAAAGAAGTTAAATGGTTCTCTTGTGGTTACACATGCATCGTTCTCTCGAAATAACTCACTAACTAAATCTAACTCTTCGTGTTTAGTTGTACTACGTGAAAGAAGTGGACGCTTAGGTAACAGAATGTTTATGTTCGCTAGTGCATTAGGACTGGCTCTGATCCATTCGTGTAAACTGTACATCGATGAATCGATCGTTAGAGAACTTGGTGCCTTCTTCCAACTTGAGTTACAAAATCTCTCGGCATCCAAATCATACTACACAAACGTATCGCATCTTGTTCAACGAAAATACAATTATTGTACGTTTTTTCCCGACTTGATAAAACCACTCGCAATCAAGTATTTTGAACTGTCTGGTTTCTGGCAAGCCCAAGGCTATTTCGTCGACTATACCAGCCAAATTCGACAACAACTCACGTTTCACAATTCTATTTTGAAACGCGTGAATCAATTTCTCAAATGGCAAACATATCTAAGAAGCACATGTTACTATCGAAATGGGATTATCAACATTACGACAAATTGCACTGCTGAGAACACAATGCAGAAATACTCTCTCAGTCATTCATCAAGCCATACAAACACAACACAAACTCAGGTGAAAACGGAGCTAACGGCAACTGCATTCACGTGGATTGGTATCCACATTCGACGAGGAGACTTTTTACGAACTCGGAAAGTTTCATCACCAACGTTCGTCATTAACGCCATAGATTATTTCAACAAAAAGTACAAAAATCAGACAATGTTCATCATGACGAGTGATGATAAACTATACTGCTCAAAAACGTTCGGTTATCTAAACAATGTCGCTATAACACCAAGATCATTCTCTGCTGCTGAAGATCTTGCTACATTAGTTGTTTGTCAGCATACAATTGTGACAGTCGGCACGTTTGGCTGGTGGGGAGCCTTTCTAGCCGCGGGAGAAGTTCTACATGATGTTAAGTCACATCAGAATCCTACTGCAGTTGATAATAACTGTGCCAGAGACGTATATTTTCCAAGATGGTATTCATTTGTAAATAGGACAGTTTAGTTGTCTAGAACAACAGATGCACGAACAACAAGTCTACTCTTGACCAAGAAAACGACTGATGTGAATGTGTAGTGTTACTGTGCACACAGTAGTTGTCGGTCGACACTGACCGTCCACCAACACAATGTGCTCAGAGTATTATGCACCGAGTTGATAGATGTTCAAGATGTATATGAGCATTAAAAGTGAAACAAACGTTAGCATCAACGATGTTGAGAGTACTAGCTTTGTCTAAGACTTTCTTTCTAGCCTTGCTCCTGATCTAACCACCAAACTTTCGTCTCGATGACATGCGTTCAGAGATGGGCGAGTACACGAAGTTCTGAGTTCAAATACTGTCGAGTATGAGTAAGAGTATTTTTCGAAAAGTACTTGAGTACATAGTTTTTCAAAAGAAGTTGGTATTGCGAAAAATTCGATTTTTTGATGCGTAAATAGGAAAGAAAAGACCACCCGTTTTTCGGGAGGTACTTGAGTAGTTATAGGAAAATACTCGTTTAAAAGATTCTCGAGTACAAGTATGAATACAAGCACTAGGAATTATATACTCGAGTATTTTCTTTTTCTAAACTTTATTCTCATCTCTCTAGTCCAGTAGCCACTGAAATCGGAGTACCTCATTGTATCTATGCCCAAAGGTACCGAGACAATGACCATTATACAGCTCTTCCAAGACTATTATGCGATCGTCGCTGCCGGGATTCGAACTCCATGTTTTTGAAGTACTTTGTCAGCCCGCTAGCCGACTGAACCACGTTGATCGAGTATACTCGTACTCGTCCATCTCTGTATCTGTTTAACTAATACGCAATTGTTGACAACATATCCTATACTTTAATTTGCATCGTGTTCTAGAAAATAGTCGATCTCATGCCTTTACTATGACGTTACATGATTAATCCCTCAAAGTTTTCGTTGATGAAGATAAAGGGAACATCATGCATATGTTTCGGACTGTCAACATGTATTATTATTGCGTTAATGGTGATGTTTTTCAACAAGAGTCTGATATTTGAATCACGCGTTGTTAAGGTGCATGACAAACAGAGAGAACAGATATCAACAATAGTCACAGCTTACTTTCCGCTTACGAAATCGAAACACAGTGTCACCAAATATAACTCATGGCTGACTAATTCACTGAGCTATATACAAAACCCAATGGTAATATTCGCTTCTAAAGAGTGTTATTTACTATTGTATCGAATTCGGTATTCTCGTGTTAATAATGTGACGTTATTTATGCAAGATTTCCCAACTAAATTTGTACTCAGCTATTCCACAGCCCGAGACATGCCACCAGTTAAAAGACTTGAGAATATTTTCACAGCCCAACATCGAAGTGATCCGGAGCGGAGGTATCACACCGTAGATTTGTATGCTATTTGGTGTGCCAAATCGTTTATGTTAAATCACTCTGCTGAACTGAATCCATTTCAAACGAAATATTTTCTGTGGATTGATGCCGGCGCATTTCGCGACTCTCGATATCGTTTCACACAGTGGCCTGATGCACAACGTGTTCGAGATATATTTAAGAATGAAGACAAACTTTTACTCGGTCTAATTAATCCACTGAGAAGACGTTACTGCACATCAAATAACTCATCGGTCAAATATAATTTAGAAGTGGGGCCGATTAAGCAGGACCTGATTGAAGGTGGCTTTATTGCGGGGAACAAGAATATCATCCAATGGTGGACAAATCTGTTTTATGAAACACTTGATGCGTTTGTTAGAAAAGGACATTTTATTGGTAAAGACCAGTATGCAATGAATGCAATTGCACTATCGCATCCTCACCTGATAAAAGGTATGCTATCGTTCAGATTCCCATGTGCTAATGCTTGGTTTGCATTTGGACCGATTCTGGCCAATCAAACCGATCGAGCTCAGTGGTTTGGAAAACGAAAAGACTGTAATGTAGAAAATGTGACCGCTGTAGTTTTGCCAATGAGCAGCGTTTGCTTTGACTCAAAGAATGTGGTATGATGACCACTATACGATCTTCTTTAGTGTTCTTTGTGTCGGATGACGAACGGTACGGAGAAATGTTTATATTCTGTTACTTCAATTATCAGAAAATGGTATTGTTTCTATGTTTTGAGTTTTAATAGTACCACAATGATTGTCAGATGGTGCACCAGATCGCTCGTGTGCTTCTGCTCGAGACACGTTCACACACTCTAGTGTTCTACAGCGTGTATGTTGGTTTGCTGAGTACTTACATCTTCGTCGTTTTGCAACTGAACTACATCTGTCATCGAGGATAGGTTTTCTATGCTTCAAGCAGCGAAAATTCTTTTGAGGATGTAAGAAAAAACATTATTCGCTGCGTGACCAAAACGCAAAAAAAGTTTTTTAGTTCCGCTGAGAGAAAACGAAAACTTTTATTTTCAAGGGTAGGGACGATTTCAGTTCTGTGAGCTCGTAAAAAGTCGTCGAATGTTGTGGATATAGATGACAAACTGAAATTAATACATTTCTCTCAATCATTGCTCGATGACAGACTTCCCGAAACAAATGGAACAGCTGTTATACAACATGCTGAAGCGAGTAGTGATTCTCTCATGTGTGCAGTATAAGTGTTTTGCATGCGAATACTGGTCATTTTTTTTCTTCTTTTCTAGAATCATATTTCTTCTTTCAGCTTGTTTACCGTTAGCTGTAGGTATCTTGCACAGTCAAAGTCTGTAGCAGGCTTTCAGTGATGATTATTAGCCAAGATGGAAAGCAAAAGAAGAAAACCTACAACGGCAGATTAGCTTGCATAACATCGAATGCACCATCAAGTAGATAACAATAGCTCCAAATTCACGAGTACTTTCAGCGTGAAACTACTAGTAGCTATTGGTATTCGCTGCTTTATTTTGCTATATGTTCTCAGTCATCTGAAGGCCGACATTGTATCCAATTATCTTTTTCAACGTCATAGAAGAGTACATCAAACTGCAACAGTTTCAGTTGAACTGTCATCGAAGGACACTTTTTGAATATTACAGTAGTAACGAGTATTTGTTGCATTTGTTGAAATTGCACAGTAATACGAAAAAAACTTCAGCTTGTACGCCAGGCATTACTAATCGTATGCTAAGAAATATGATTTCTTCTCGTATTAAACCAGTCACTAAATTAGTCTACGAGTTCTTTGAATTCACTGAATTTTCTGAACACTGAAAAGATAGTTTTGTTCACCCTATTTTTAAGAATGGAGACAGTCTTGATATATCTAACTATCGACCAATAAGTTTGTTACCATCTTAATCTAAAATATCCGAAAGATTGATTCACAGACAACTATATACTCATTTCGTTAATAACAAACTTCTGTCGGCTTCTCAATTAGATTTCGTAGCGAAAAAATTGTGTTACATGGTAAAATGTTTCCGAAAAAGCATCATTCAGGATTGTTAGACCGTGCGCCACCATTCCACCTTCAGTATGACGCAACTTTTGACCAGAGAGGCACCTATATGTGATACATCGAATGACATATGTAAAAAACCCTGGTTTTTCAGGTAAAATCTGCTTTATTTCACCAAAAAAGCATTTTCAAACAAACTAAGGTAATATTTGGAATCAGTTCATCGAACTGCATCGAAGCATATATGGGACGAATATTTTCCGCTGAAAAAATTAACAGGAGAATCTCCGTAAGTAAAGAAACGGGCAATCATAGCTGCAAAAATTATTTTTTCAATAAATGAAGTAGATTCAGATTCTTTAATATATATTCTTCGGTATATATTCGAAATCCCGACACTTTTAGTTATCTCTCTGTAAAATAGTTTTCCATTAAGAAGCTAACATTGAAACTAAATAAAGCTTTTCCGAAACAAAACCGGGTTCCCAAAAGATGTGTTTAACGCAGTGAGAGCGCGAGAGCTAGCGAAGGCCTAATCAGGCTCAAAATCATACTAAAATGTTCCTTGAAGTATGCTCTATCCACAGTGAATGCTCAAAAATGCCCGTATTTACCTAAGCTGAGTTATTGGTTTGCGAGGTGAAATGCGATTTTCTCAGTCCATGAACATTTGTATAAAGGAATAATGTTATATTTGGAATCAGCGTATAAAATCACATTTAACGACATATAACTTGTTAATTTCCTGAATACAAACGTTTTCGACAAAAATTTAGATAAGGGTCCCGTCCCCCTCAGGGATTTTTTGTTTAAAAGGTTTTTTTCCGAGTTTCGGTTTTTTAATTTATAATAACATTTCAAACGTAATAAAGTACTAATGAGCAAAAATAGTCTCTTTCTGAATTAAAAAACCACATGTCCGCCCGATCTGCAGAAAGAACTTGGTGCCTTCTTCCAACTTGAGTTACAAAATCTCTCGGCATCCAAATCATACTACACAAACGTATCGCATCTTGTTCAACGAAAATACAATTATTGTACGTTTTTTCCCGACCTGATAAAACCACTCGCAATCAAGTATTTTGAACTGTCTGGTTTCTGGCAAGAAACCACCAAACTTCCGTCTCGATGACATGAGTTCGATGGGTGGGTACATGGGGTTCAGAGGTGTACGAGTAACTTTTATGAAAAGTACTCGAGTATACAGTTCTTCAATAGAAGTCGGTGATTCTGAAAGAATCGATTATTTGATACATAAATAGGAAAAAAATATCACCCGTTTTTCGGGCGGTGCTGGAGTAGTTTTTTGAATATTCGTCGAAAAATTTCCGAGTACAAGTATGAATATGAGCGCTAGGAATTATGTACTCTAGTATACTCTTACTCGCTCATCTCTGCATCTGTTTCACTAGTATCCAGTTATTGCCCTATACTTTAATTTTGCATCGTGTTCTAGAAAATAGTCGATCTCATGCCTTTACTATGACGTTACATGATTAATCACTCAAAGTTTTCGTTGATGAAGATAAAGGGAACATCATGCATATGTTTCGGACTATCAGCATGTATTAGTATGCGTTAGTGGCGATATTTTTCAACAAGAGCCTTATATCTGAATCACGCGTTGTTAAGGTGCATGACAAACAGAGAGAACAGATATTAACAATAGTCACAGCTTACTTTCCGCTTACGAAATCGAAACACAGTGTCATCAAATATAACTCATGGCTGACTAATTTACTAAGCTATATACAAAACCCAATGGTAATATTCACTTCTAAACAGCATTATTTACTGTTGTATCGAATTTGGTATTTCCGTGTTAATAATGAAACGTTATTTATGCAAGATTTCCCAACTAAATTTGTACTCAGCTATTCCACAGCCCGAGACATGCCACCAGTTAAAAGACTTGAGAATATTTTCACAGCCCAACATCGAAGTGATCCAGGGCGGAGGTATCATATCCTGGATTTGTATGCTGTTTGGTGTGCTACATCGTTTATGTTAAATTACTCTACTCAACTGAATCCATTTCAAACGAAAACTTTGCTAAAAGTTTGGTAGAAAAGGACATTTTATTGGCAATGACCAATATGCAGTTGCACTATCGCATCCTCACCTGATAAAAGTTATGTTATCGATCCGAGTCTCATGTGCTAATGCTTGGTTTGTAGTTGGACTGATTCTGGCCTATCGAGCTCAGTGCACATGGTTCGATAGAGTTCGTTAAGCTGCATCCGAATATGTATGTTTTAACGTTCCAGAAAAATCTTTTAGAGTGAAAACGTTGAAAAAACTCAAAAATTTCAGACCCTAGCCATTCACATAAGCGGCAACTGCGTTACATAGAACACTGCTCAAACGTATGTCACAGAACTTGTTCAAACCAGTCATAAAGGAAAATATAGACATTTCTACGTAAAATCGCGTTTTACCTTTGAAAAAATATTGCCTAGTCGCTGAGAAGCGAGCATTTTAAAATTTTGACCTACTTTTGTAAAATGTGACAGCTCTCATATTGACAACTTTCCGTTGCTCATATCTCGGCAATCACACAAGATAAAAGCTCAAATCTTTTACATATTTAAAACCAACATTCTTCTTCAATTTACAACACACACGACCTCTGGGAGTAGTTTGGCTCTCATACAGTGCCTTGTATCCGGTACGTCCTAAACCCATAGTTTGTTCACTTTGAAGCCATACTGTATCGAAACCAAATATTTTCATAAAATCGTGAAAACACCATTAGATAGAGGAAATTGATGTAGAGCTGTCAAAGGAAACGAAAGCCGACCTATTCGATAACCAACTGTAAATCCATAGCCATAACTTAGTTGGAATTGAGTAACGAGCCAACTTAATCAGTAATGCATGGTGCCAGATTCGATCGAAAGCGGAAACAAAATCTACAAATAAAACTAATCCTGGCCGATTTGTGGCTAGAGCTGATTTAATCTGTTCTATCAATGATAATACCCGCGTTTGAAGACGTAATCCTGGTTGAAAGCCTGTTTGACAATCCGGAATAATATTGGAGTCTAATACCCATTTCTGGAGATGATTATAGAAAATACGTTCGTATAATTTTCCGATAGAATTCAGTAACGAAATAGGACGAAGTTCGGATAACAATGGGTAGTGGCCATTTTTGGAAAGTATACATAAACGAGCAATTTTTGCACACTCTGGAAACCTATTTAGTGAAAAAAGACGATTAAATAATACTGAAAACAGTGCTG